GAACCAATACCATTTAGGAAGTATTAGTACTTAAACAAAACTTATGAAAATTTTTTGGGATTCTACCACCTTGGGATAGGCTTCTACGCCAAATGTTAATTTAAAAATTATTTTTTTATATGAATTGTTTTACATTATTTTCCATTAGGTAAGATTTTAGTATAAATGTATTTTCAATTATCATGGTTGAGCTTATTCATTATGTTAAATTCTTTCTACTATGGTAGGCTATTTGTAAAATGTTTATTTATATGATAAACTCTTTCTACCATAGTAGAGTTTTAAAAGAATTTTTTTATTTATTATCATGGTAGAAATTTTTCTACCATGATAAGAGTTCAATGATGTAATAATGATTTATTGAATTAATAATTTGTGAAAAATTAGTTTGAAAATTTCAAGGTGTCACATATTGCTTTCAGAGCATCATGTTTCGAGCCTCTATTTTGGTGATACTAATGTTTTGTTTGAAACTATTACTAGTTTGGATTTAATATGTATTTATTATGTGTTGGTGTGATGCATTACATATAGTCGATTGGAAATATATATTGTTATGGTACTTCTCATTGTATGGACATTATATGGTTAGGCTAACTTTATTTTTTATATATCCTGCATCCTTTGGGAGGGGAGAGAGGATGCCTGTCACTCGCGGTAACTTAAGAGCCTAGCATGAGCAATCCAACCTCCACCGCCAAATGAAGAGCCTAACTTGATAGAATTGAGAGCACTTGTGAAGACTTTAACGGACAAAGTCCAAAGATACAAGTAAGAGTTGACGAAGCTAAAGATACAGAAGGTCACTGAGAATGGTGATAGGGCTTATACTGAGAGTCACATAGAGGAAGGTAGTTCTTCACATCCTACTATTATGAGAGATCATGAGCCTAAGAAGGAGGAGACTAGGTAGGAGCAACAGAAAGCCCTACTATCTATTACTAATGTGTGAGAAACTATTAAAAAGTTTAACTCTTCCATGTTTGATGGTAACCTTAAACCATCCGTGGTGTAGGAATGGGTGAAGAGACTTGAGTCTGTCTTTTGAGTAGTCACGTGCACCAGTAACTAAAAGGTGTAGGTAGCGTTAGTACTCCTAGTGAAGGGAGCAAGAGATTGGTGGGAGACAGCAGGGCCTAGGGACGATTCTACACTCACATGGGAAGAGTTCAAGGAAAATTGTTTATGCATTACTTTCCGTCAAAGTTAAGGTTTGAGAAGGAAGTTGAGTTACATGCTTTTAAGCAAGGGAACCTAGACGAGGACATGTTCATCACCAAGTTTCAAGAGTTATCTAGATACTCCACCTACCTACAGTATAAGGATGATTCTAAGTGGAAGGCTAAGCACTTATTGGAGAAGGTGAGATTAGAATTAAGGGAGCAATTAACTCATCTAGACATCCGAGACTATAATGAAATGTGCATAAAACTACAAATAGTAGCCAGCAGTAAGAGGAAGGTCGAGAGAGTGAAGAGAGGGGATTCATATAGTAGACCCCTAACCTACCCTAACCCATCGGAGGCATTACAAAAAAGAACTATCAGGGTTTGAGTAGCTCATAGAACCAGGGAAGGAAGAAGGGTCTATTTCAAAAGGGCCAAGGACAAAAGAGCCATTAAAGTGGCCATCAAGGGTCACAAAGGGACCCAACAGTATCTACTCCTACCCCGAGTACAACAAGCTGTCAACAATATAATAAATGCGGGTGCCATCACTCCAGGCCGTGCTGGGTTTATTACATTTGTAGGAAACTTGGTCACATTATGAAGTTTTACAGTGACAATCAAGATTTAAATATGAAGAACCCCTCCCAGCATCCTACTGTAGCCAACCATGTGTTTGCCATCACTTAGGACATGATGAACTCCCCATATGCCATTAGAGGTAACATTAAAATCCTTTATCATGATATTGTTGCACAATATGATTCAGGTGCTATGCACTCTTTTATTTTTGAAACTTATATAAAGAACTTTGATTTGCCTATGTGTATTACCTTTTGATATGAATGTGTCCACTCTTGTGGGAGAATCTATGAGGATCGCTAAGGCATGCCTTAACCTAACAATCGAGTTTGAAAATAGGAAGACAATTATGGACTTGATTATCCTACCACTGAGAGGTATAGATGTAATTATGGGAATAAATTAGATGTCTGTAAATAGTACTATCCTAGACTGTAGAGAGAGGAGTGTGTCTTTGTCTGCTTTGTGGGTGACTCCAGTTGAGGCTCAAGACCATGTTTTCTTATTGATGGCACAAGTTGATAGATATATGAAGAAAGGTTATGGTTTTCTTTTCTATCTAAGTTGAGATTAATAAAGGTGTGAAGAATATCCCTATTGTCAAGGAATTTGCAGATATATTTTTAGATGAGGTCTCCGGTTTACTCTTAAAGCACAAGGTGAAGCTCTCAATTGAGTAATACCTAGTATAGGGCCAATTTCTAAGGCTCCTTATTGAATGTTCTCCTCAGAGTTAGCAAAATTAAAAAGGAAAATTAAAGAGCTACTTGAGAAGGGTTTTATCAAACTAAGTGTTTCACCTTTGGGATCTCTAGTTCTTTTAGTGAAGAAGAAGGATGGAAGCCTTTGACTGTGCATTGACTCTAGACAATAACAAAGTAACCATCAAGAACAAATATCTACTTTCGAGAATCGATGATTTATTGGATCAGCTTATGAGATCAACAATTTTCTCAAAGATTGAGTTGAGGTTAGGGTATTACCAATTGAGAGTAGGAGCAAAGAACATATCTAAGATAGCATTTCGGACTAGATGTGGGCATTATGAATTCATGATGATGCCATTTGGACTTATGAATGCTCTTACAGTATTTATGGATTACATAAATAGGATCTTTCGACCCTATTTAGATAAGTTTACAGTAGTATTTATTATGACATTCTTGTTTATTTGAAGGATGAGGAAGCTCATGGCAAGCATTTAAGGACCATCTTGCAAGTTTTGAGGGAACATAAGCTTTGTGCCAAATTGAGCAAATATGAGTTTAGGCTCCAAAAAGTGAAGTCTTTAGGCCATGTTATGTCTAGAAATGAAGTTGTAGTGGATCCTAGCAAGATTGATGTAGTAATAAGGTGGGAATAGGCTAAATTTGTGATTGAGATATGAAGCTTTCTAAGTTTAGCAGGTTATTATTGTTAGTTTATTAAAGGATTTTTGTAAATTGCAATGCCCTTGACTAAGCTGACTAAGAAGGATGCCCTGTTTATTTGGACTGACAAATGTGAAGCTGCTTTCTAAGAGTTGAAAAGAGGTTGACCACTACTCCAGTGTTGACCATTCCTAACCCTGTGATGCCATACACTCTATACACTAATGCTTCTTTAAAGGGTTTTGGATGTGTTTTGATGCAAGATGATAGAGTAGTTGCCTATTCCTCCAAACAGTTGAGGCCGCATGAAGAAAATTACCCTACACATGACTTAGAGTTGGCTGTAGTTGTGTTTGCTCTGAAGATATGGAGACTCTACTTGTATAGATCTAAGTTTTAAATCTTTAGTAACCATAAGAGCCTGAAGTATTTATTTGATCAAAAGGAGCTTAATATGAGGTGGCAATGGTAGATGGAATTTTTAAAGGATTATGACTTTGAATTGCATTATCATCCGGGTAAGGCTAATGTGGTAGCTGACACTTTGAACAGGAAGACTATTCATGCTGCACATTTGATGGTTCATGAATATCATTTATGGAATAGTTTTCATGATGTTTTGATAGATGTGACTGAGCATCAGATGGCCGCACTCCAAGTAGCGGACTTTGAGAGCAAATTCTGGGCAAATCTCAGAGTTGCACAACAGAGTGATGACTACTTGAGGAATATAAGAAAAGAGGTAATGGCAGGAAAGGCCCTAAATTTTACCAACTTTGATGATACAATGATGAGGTATAAAGGAAGAATTTATGTACCTAATGATCTGAGATTGAGGAATATCCTTTTAAAGGAGGCTCATAAAGCAAATATACAATTCATCCAGGTATGACTAAGATGTACTATGATTTAAAGCAAGGTTAGTGGTGGCTAAGAATGAAGAGAGATGTAATGAAATTTGTTTCTAGATGTTTGACATGTCAGAAGATCAAGATAGAATATTAAAAGCCGCCAGGAATGCTATAACCATTAGATATTCTAGAGTAGAAATGGGATGATATTTTCATGGATTTCATCATTAGACTGCCAAAAACACCCTCAACTAAGGATGCTATTTGGGTAATTATGGACGACTCATTAAATCAGCTCACTTTTTGGCAATCAGGTTTACCCCTGCATTAGAGAAATTTAATGAGATATATATTAAGGAGATAGTTAGGCTTCATGGTATACCCTCTATAATCATGTCAGATCATGACCTAATGTTTACTTCAAACTTTTGGGGTGTGCTGCAGAAGGCTATGGGTACTAGAGTAAGTTTTAGCACCACATACTACCCTCAGACAAATGGACAAATAGAGAGGACGATTTAAACTTTGGAGGACATGTTGAGAGCTTGTGCCATTGAACTACCAAGCAGTTGGGATAATCATCTACCGTTAGCTGAATTTGTTTATAATGACAACTATCATTCTAGTATTGAGATGGCGCCTTATGAGGCCTTGTATGGAAGGAAGTGTAGATTGCCTTTGTGTTAGATAGAATTAAGTAGGAGGAGTATCATTGGTCTAGAAATTGTAGAGAAAACCACTCAAAAAATTGCTATGATTAAGCAAAAATTGATAACAGCTCAAAGCTAATAGAAGAGTTATGCTGATAAAAGGAGACGGCTATTAGAATTTGAAGTAAGAGATAATGTATTTTTAAGGATTTCTCCAGTGATAGGCATTAGTAGAGCCATCAAGGAGAAGAAGTTGACGCCTAGATTTATGGGCCCGTATGAGATCTTGGAGCGAATTGGACCTATTGCATATAGAGTTGCATTACCTTCGCAGATTGCAGGTTGTAACACCCTCAAATTTACAGACCGATTTTTCACAAGTTATTAATTCAACAAATCCTTTTTTTTATTTTTTTTTTCATTGAACCCTTATCATGGTAGAAAAATTTCTACCACGATACATCCAAGACAATATACCACAGGTCTTAAAATATCTAAAAAAAAAACAATTAGAACCATGAGGGACAGACATGATCCTCATAGCATGTTATTCAAATCAGATCATAAATCAAGAAGGACAGACATAATCCTCTTGGTCATATAAATACTTTTAATAAAAAGGATTAGAGTTTACATGCTTCACAAAGAAGATATGTCCTAAGTTGGCACAAGATACATTGTATAATCTAAAATAAGAGGCAACGTAAAAGATGGTGTCTCATACACCACAGTTACACCTCTGGTGCTTTCTCGGCCGGACTCGCTCCTGTAAAAATATTAACCACGGGGAATGAGACTTAAAAGTCCCAGTAACCAAAAATTAATATGTAATGATACATGCGGATGTAACTAATCATGCGATTGCTAAGTGGGCACACAAAACATTTAACCGAACAATACTTTCAAACAAACCAAACAAGTATTTAATTTGCATGATTGCACCTTATATCCTCCTTTCGCCATGCTCGGACGCCAAATCACCCGGCCAAAGGTGAGTTGGACCAAGCGACACGCCACTCATTGGGTCCAATGAGGGCTTACCACGTGGTAATAATTAACCGAACAGAAATTCCCATTAACACCATACATTAAAATACCCTGACAAGTCATGCATCATTCAAATATCCAAACAGGAATATATCCGAACAATAATATCTCATCATGATAAACAAAAATAAATTTTTAACCCACTTGGCAATAATTTCAAACAAGTATATACAGTATTTATTTTCAATAATTCATAATTTTTCCAAACAACAAAACAACACATAACCATTCACAAACACACTCATCACAACACATTAATAATGGTTACCTTGTGTCTTGAATAACAAGTTCCCCTTCACAACTCCTTTTTCACCACTATCTTTGTCAATATAATCTACATAATTATTTCACAATACTATATATTAATTTTACATTAAAATAAATAACTCTAATTTAAAGAGTTAGAAAGTCTTAAATCTATAGTCCATATTAACACTAATTTAAGATTTATGCCTCATTTAACTTCCCAAATTCTTTTCTAAAATTCTCGTACCCTAATGAACTATTTTTTTTTATCCTCAATTCACTTCTAGTATCACAATTTCATCCTTCTACATTCTAAAAATTCATCCAAAAATAAATTAAAAATTTTAGAATTATCCTGAAGCCTCAAATCACCTTTCTATAACCTCAAAAATACCTATTCATACTTAAATAAATATTTAATAATCATAGGTTTATCCCTACGTCTCAGATTCCACATAAATTCAACCATATAGATCTAGATTTTAACTCAAAAATTCTTAAACATGAGTTTCAACCTCAAGAAAATATTCTATAATATTTATTATATCCCTAAGAATTTTAACCTATATTTTTAATCCATCATATCATCAGATTAACTATCCTATAGAAAAATCCTAATCAAAATATTTACTCTATCCTACAAAATAATCATATCACTAGAAAGCTAATATTATTTAGAAAATAACTATAAAATTAATTTTGTAATTAAATAAATTTTTAAATGCTAATCTAAACAGGAAAGTTAGAACATACCTGAAGAAAAAGAAAATAATCCCCCTTGTGAGAAAACGCCGAGCAACGTGAGAGGAAGAGAGAAAAATAATATAAAAATGGGATTGTGAGTCCCAAAATTATATTAAAAAAAAAAACTATAGGTTTGAATTTAATTATTCAAACCTTTGGGCCAAAAGTTGCAATTTTCTCTAAATTGCATCTTAGCCTCTCATGCTTCCTAATGCACACACCCCCCTCCTTTTTATACATGAAGGCACCTCTTCTCTTCCCTTATCTAACCAATGTGGGACTCAGAAACAACAACCTTCCCCCCCTTTTTTTTGTTCCTTCTACCTTCTCTCTCTTTTTTTTTTCAACACATACATAAAAAAAAATTATTTATGTATTATATCTTAACTAAATATTGCTTATGTGGTTTTAAATTTAAATTTTTAAATTCATAATTAAATACCTAACCATAATATTATTTCTAAATAACCTCAAATAATATAAATTCCTATTATTATCATTTTTTTTCTCAAAACCTAAATTCCACAATTTCTTTATTATATAAAAAATCAGGATGTTACACAGGTATCCATAATGTGTTCCACGTATCACAGTTAAAGAAGCACAACCTAGATCCCTCCCATGTTATTGAATCTGAAGAAGTGGAATTGAGGGAGAATTTGACCTTTAGATCTAAACCGGATCGAATTGAGGACTTTAAGGACAAGCAACTGTAAAATAAGACCATTTGACTCATTAAGGTGATTTGGAAGGGTGCAGCCCTAAGTGATGCCACCTGGGAGACTGAGGAGAATATAAGGCAAGATTACCCATATTTATTTGCTTAGGTATATAGTTTCTAAGCTTGCTAACCTTAAATTTTGAGGACAAAATTTCTAAAAGGAAGGAAAATTTATAACATCCTGATTTTTAGAAAATGAAGAAATTGTGAAACTTAGGTCTTATTCAGGATAAATAATAATAATAATAATAATAAAAATTTATATTATTTGAGGTTATTTGGGAGTAATAATATGGTTAGGTATTTAATTATGAATTAAAAATTTAGGCATAAGATCATATAAGAGATGTTTTGTTAAGATATAATTTTAAGATTTAAAATATATAAATAAATATGAATGTGTGTATGTGGGTAACAAAAAAAAAAGGTACAAAGCTTGTTTTAGGTCCCACATCGGTTAGATGTAGGAAGAGAAAAGGTTTTCTCATGTATAAAAATGCTAGAACGTACATCAGATGGGGACAAAAGGGCATTAAGCAATTTGTGAAAATTGCAACTAATGGCCCAAGGATTTGAATAATTAAATTCAAATCTATAGTCATTTTTAAATATAATTATGGGACCTACAATCTTGTTTTTATATTATTTCCCCATCTTTCTCTCTCTCTCTCTCTCACGTTGGGTCATATTCTCACATGCAAGGTGGGTTATTTTCTTTTTTTCAGGTATGCTCTAACTTTTCAATTTAGATTAGCATTAAAAAAATTATTTAATTATAAAATTAATTTCATAGTTATTTCCTAAATAATATTAGCTTTCTAATGATATGATTATTTTGTGGAATAGAGCAAATATTCTGATTAGAATTTTTCTAGAGGATAGTTAATTTGACGTTATGATAAATTAAAAATACATGTTGAATTTGTTAGGTATATAATAAATATTATAAAATATTTTCTTGAGGTTGAAACTCAGATTTAAGAATTTTTGAGTTAGACTCTAGATCTATATAGTTGAATTTATATTGAATCTAAGATGTAGGGATGAACATATTAAATATTTATTTAAGTATAAATACGTATTTCTAAGGATATAAAATGGTGATTTGAGGCTTGAGGGTAATTTTTAAATTTTAAATTTATTTTTAAATAAATTTTTGGAATATGGATTGATGAAATTGTGATATTAGAGGTGATTTGAGGCTTAAATATAGTTTATTATGGTATGAGAATTCTAGGAAAGAATTTGAAAAGTTAAATGAGGTACAAACCTTAAATTATTATTAATATAGGTCTTAGGCCTAAAACTTTCTAACTCTTTAAATTAGAGTTATTGGTTAATTTCAATGTGAAATTAATATATAGCATTATGGAATAATTATAGATTGTATTGATAAAGAGAGTGGTGAAAGAGGAGTTTTGAAGGGAAACTTGTTGTTCAAGACACAAGGTAACTATTATTAATGTGTTGTGATGGGTGTGTGTGTATGTGTGATTGGTTAATTTGTTGTTTGGAAATAATTATAAATTGTTAGAAATAAATATTGGTATATACTTGTTTGGAATTATTGCCAAGTGGGTTAAAAATTTGTATTTGTTTATTATGATGAGATATTATTATTTGATTATATTCTTGTTCGGTTGTTTTAAATGATGCATGATTTATCAGGGTATTTTAATATATGGTGTTGTTAGGAATTTCTATCTAGTTAATTATTATCACGTGATAAGCCCTCATTGGAACCATTGAGTGGCATGTAGCTTAGTCCAACTCACCTTTGGCCAAGTAATTTGGCATCCAAGCATGGCGAAAGGTGGATATAAGGTGTAGTTATGCATTTAAATATTTGTTCAATTTGTTTGAAAATATTGTTCGGTTAAATATTTTTGTATGCCCACTTAGTAATTACATGATTAGTTACATCCACATGTATTATTACATACTAATTTTTGGTTATTGGGACTTTTAAGTTTCATTCCCCATGGTTAATATTTCTATAGGAGTGAGTCTGGTGGAGAAAGCACCAGAGGCGTAACTTTGGTATATGAGACACCACCTTTTATATTACCTCTTATTTTGGATTATATAATGTGTTGGGTGTCAATTTAGGACATATCTTATTTTGTAGAGCATATAGCCTCTGACCCTTTTTATTAATTTCATTTATATGATCAAGAGGATCATGTCTGTCCCTTTTAATCCTTGACCTAATTTGAAAATCACACCATGAGGATCTTATCTGTCCCTCATGGCTCTAATTGCTTTTTAGGATGTTAGTAACATAACAAAATTTACTTGGAAGCATTAAGTATTTAGTGAAAAGGTATTTATAATGTGAACAAGTGTACATCCTATAATTATATTTTGTTAAGGATAAGTGTTGGATTATGGTGAATGTTGTGCGGAATCATTTTGGGTATTATTGAACCAGTATCATTTAGGAAGTATTAGTACTTAAACAAGACTTATGGAAATTTTTTGGGATTCTGCCACCTTGGGATAAGCTTATGTGCCAAATGCTAATTTAAAAATTATTTTCTTTGATATGCATTGTTCTACATTGTTTTCCATTTAGTAAAATTTTATTATAAATGTATTTTCAATTATTATGGTAGAGCTTATTCATTATGTTAAATTTTTTTTATTATGATAGGCTATTTGTAAAATATTTTATTTATATGATAAACTCTTTTCTACTATAGTAGAGTTTTAAAAGAAGTTTTGTTATTTATTATCATAATAGAAAATTTTCTACCTTGATAAAGGTTCAATGATGTAAAAATAATTTATTGAATTAATAATTTATAAAAAATTGGTTTGAAAATTTTAGGGTGTTACATAGGGGCCTTTCTAATTTTGGAAGATTTCGAGGACATGACATTTATGCATGTCCCTCGAGACTAAAATTGGGAAGCCAACAAACTAGCACATATAGCATTAGGGCTGGGATTTTCACCAGAACTCACTGAGAAAGTAATTATAGTACAACGAAAGGAGAACCCTTCAATATTTCAATGAGGTTTAATAGTATAGTACAATGTGATCTCACAGGAGTTAGCTCAAGATTAGCGAGATGAATTGAAAAGTTATTTACAAAATCCTAGCCAATAATATTCTTATAGAACTAAGATACAGGCTCAACACTTCATCTTAATTGGAGATAAGTTATACAAGAAAGGACTCGATAGATTATTAATGAAATGCTTAGCATTTATAGAATACATGGAGGTTTTAAGATAGGTATATGAAGGTGTATGCAGGGCTCATCAATCAGGAACTAAAATGCAGTGAATAGTACATAGGTAAGGGTATTACTAGCCATTTATGACTAAAAATTGCATTGAAGATGCTAAGAGGTGTAGGAAATGGTAAACACATGGGCTGGTATAATGAATACTAGTATTAGATATGCATCACATTATCAAACCATAGCCTTTTAGAGGGTGGGCCATAGACATAATAGAGAAAATATATTCAGCCTCTTCCAAAGGCCACTCTTTTATCTTAGTAGCCACTGACTATTTTCACGCAATGGGTATAGGCAACCCCTTTAAAGAAAGTCAAACAAGATGATGTAATCAATTTCATATGCGAAAAGATGGTATACTTCTTTGGGATTCCTCAAACGATTACAATAGATTAAGGGACTATGTTTACTAGAAGTAGTTTCAAAGATTTTGCCAAAGAAAGTAGAATCAAGTTATTAACATCATCACCACATTATTCTCAGGAGAATGGACAAGTTGAGGCTTCCAATAAGTGATCCTATAATTCTAAAGAAAATGATCAAAGAAAACCCTAGAGAGTGGCACAAACAAGTTCCTGAAGCATTATGGACTTATAGGACTTTAAAGAGAGAAGCCATTGGCATGAGTCCATATGTTTTGACTTATGGGCACAAGGCCATACTACTAATGGAAGTAATTGTCCCTTCATTATGTGTTTCTAATAGCTTATGAATGTCCTCAGAGGAATACAATAAAGCCATCATAAACAAGTTAATTCATTAGATGAAATTCGTTTACAAGTATTAGATCACATAATTACCTAAAAGGAAGAAGTTTCAAAAATATATAATAAAAGGGCAATAAAGTAGCAATTTCAAATGGCCAAGCTTATGTGAAAACTTATTCTACCACCTAGTATCAAGGATTGGATGCTTAGTAAATTTTCACTTAATTGGAAAGGACTATTTAAGGCTAGTGAAGTGCTTCAAGGTAATGTGTACTAGCTATCTAGTCTTAATGGGATTCCACATAAATAGGCCATAAATAAAAAATACTTAAAAAAATATTGG